GATAGAGCGAGAGAGAGGAGAGAGAGAGAGAGAGAGAGAGAGACCTGCCACTCATCTCCGTGATATCCGACACTCAGCTCGGCACAATTTCATAATGCATGCGACCACAACACAACAGCCAACTGGGATCCGCGGACTCGCTCGCAAATCGTCTCCATCCATTGCTGGGTCATAAGGACCACCGGTCAGCTCAGCTTGGCCGTAGGGGCGTCTCCATCGGACAACGGCGTGCCAGCGCTGCCAAGTAATCTGATCCTAAGCCGCCACTGTAGCGGGATCAATGCCCAGTGAGCCGCCATACCCCAGGGAAACAGACACGTCGTCTCGGACCTGCCTGTCCGCCCTCGCAGCCATTGGCATGGTGGCAGCTCTCAGTGAAGCCTTCTCCCGCCCGGCCGGCCGAGTTCGGAGCAGCACTGCTGATTCACCCAGCACAGAGATGCGGCCATCACGGTCGGAGCAACACTGCTTATTCACTCAGCACAGAGATGCAGTCATCACGGTCGGAGCAACACTGCTGATTCACCCAGCACAGAGATGCAGCCATCACGGTCGGAGCAACACTGCTTATTCACTAAGCACAGAGATGTAGCCATCACGGTCGCCTCATTTGTGTGGATAGCTTTCGAGAAACGAAGTTTGCGGTGGTGGGAAGGTTTTGATGTCCGGACTAAATACTCCGGATCGTGATATTTCTAGTCTCGTACATAAAAGGTGACCATGATCAAACGCCCCATGATATAGACTCCGACGGCCAATAGGGTTTCTAAAATAGCTTGAACTTGTAAAAGCATGACGCTGGACGTCGAGAAGCAGCCTGTGAGATTCTTACTCATGCTCATGATTTCTGAGAACTCAACTGTAAACAGCCTTTTGAAATTCACCCATAGTCAAAATACGATAAGCGGGCAAAATGGTGTATAATGAAGATCGTTTGAGGTGCGACGCCTTTCATAGGTCGACTAGCGACTGATTCGTCAGGGGCATGACTACCGTTCCAGACAGCTGATAAATGTTATGTCACAGACGAAGCACGAAGCGCTGTCATGTGCAGATGCGCTTTATCTTAGCATAGACAAGGT